ATTCGCATTATTCAAGCGAAATTTTGATATTTTATCATGAGGAAATTATCCACAATGCAAAAAGTATATTATATCTATGTATTAATGGGAAGGTTAGTTTTGTAAGAAAATTAAATTTAGCAGCTCCGTTAATTTTGTTAGATCGAAATTTAATACCCTCTTAAACTTTATAGTATAACTATAAACCAAACCTATTGTTTGGTAAGGGAAGGACACCAAACTCCAACTAAATATGAGAAAATCCAACAATTTATCCGCAGCAGGCATGTGTATCTGCTATCCCCTAGCCGGGCAAAATTCCTATACATGACATTAATTTCACTTTCTGTTCATTATCTGGATCCTGTGAGCATGAAATTTAATTAAGCTAATGGATACCTAGAGTGATAATTTTAGATTATTTTGATACATGCGAGATTAAATATCACTTCAGGCGTTTGTATGGCGAAAGCATTATTTTGAGCAACGGGTTCCGAACCCCCGACCGAACGCTATGACGTCTCTGGTATTTATGATAATGAAGAGTTTAATGTATTTACAATTACAAATCGATAGCAATGTGATTACATCCAAGTTATTGGAAACTAATAATTTGTAGGTGCAACAATTACCTAATAGTCTAGTTCTGAGCGAGTATAATGGTACATTTCCTAAATTCTTTCCTTTGTGCAAGGCATAGCTGCGTTCGAAACTAAAAGCAATTAGATCAGTACAATATGACCGTGTACGTTTTCTCATTCCTCGATTCCGAAAAGGAAGAACCTTTGTCGCTGGAAACGGTAATCAAAAAGTTGTCGAGAACTTCCACTCGACTCACCGGGCGATTGTTCTCCGCAAAATCTAGCTAATATTTTATCAGGTTGATTTGAAACTTTTTGGGCCCCTCCGCTGTTGTCGAATTAACGATGATATTCGAATACACGCTTACCCAACGCAATGATAAATTTTGAAGTGTGACTTTCGAAAGGAACGGCTCTAATTTTCGAGGAATGAGAAAATTTAATTAAAGGGCCTTGTTAGCCTATTTCCGCTCGAACTGAAATGTTATGACTCCGTATGAATGGAACACTTAAAGAATAGCGCAATACAAAACGCGAATTCGCATTAATACTCACACGCCGTAATATTTTATTATTAATTCCCTCTTTTCAGATTCGCACTTTTGTTTGTTGGAGGAATAAATAGAGCGCGATAATTAGAATGCCAGAAATTCGGGAATTGGCTTTCGATTTTTTGTGTTTTTTTTGGAATTTCAATGCGGAACGATAAAAGGAAAAGTAAATTAAGCTTTGACAAACAATTTTTATATTAAAAATACTCCCTTGTGCGAAATTATAAAGAGAAAAAGCAGGCCATGTGTGCAAGAAAAAGAGCCCTGTAATATAAAAACATCCTAAAAACCGTAATTACATCCTATTGAATGAACAGGCTAATCTGAGCAATTCACCATTATTGAACGAACCTTCCCCAGAACACAAATAGAATCTTTAAGATGAACAAAGAAAACGACGGAGTGGAAACCGGCGAAAAAATAGAACTTTTTCGAATGTCTTATTATGCCATTTCATTCAGTTGACGACGAACACATTATTTTAACTTTGTTAATTCGAGTTCATTTTTTATCGCGAGCGAATCTTCCTTACAACTTTCGAATCAGACGAAATAATATAGAGTTTCAAGAAGGGCCATTAATTCAGGGATGAAATTTTCCTATTATAATGATTAATGGACAAATATCTGCCGAAGGTCGGAACTGCGTTACGAAAAGTTTTTGCTTCATAATTATAAGCTGAGGGTCTCGATAAGGCACTTATAGAATATTTTAATATTGTATATCCATTTATGAACGGTAATAAGCATTCACATCAATTCTTGCATTGAAATTGATATATTTCATATAGGTAAGTGAGATGTAACTTCCATTTGCACAATAGGTAAATCGAATACGACATAATATCCAATTAAATTGTTCTAGTTCGTGTTTTTCTCGCGTCAGAAATTCCCGCTTTACATTGTTTGAAATGCGCTCGCTCTGCCACAAAGTCATTCGTACGAATATAACTCCACACCGGTCGTTCGTATGGTGATTTCCTATCGATTTCAAAGCGACCGCGTATACTTTTGAAACTTTATTCCCGCTAGGTTTCAAGAAAAAACAGTAAAAGAGGACTATCGTTCGTAAAACTGTTCGTTTTATAACGGAAACATTGCGTTTTGAAAACGGAAACAAACATAAACAGAGAAAATACTTAGCTATTATTTTTATAATAAATCCATAATATCATAAATGTTTTAACAATAAGCTTGCTATGTATTAATATTTTACAAAAAGATTATATGTTATTTAAAAATTCCAGTTTTATAATATCCCATTAAAGTCGAGCTTGTGCTTTTTATTTTCGAGCTGTACGGAATGTATTCATTCATAAATAAGTGTGTGCCCGCATTAAGGCGACAAAATATACACCATTATACAAAATGTATTATTTAGTCGGTTTTAGAGGTTCGTACCTATCTCCTTGGCGGGTTAAAGAAGGCAAGAAAAATTATTAACATATTTCCGGGAGGTCTCGTCCTGTTTTATTCTCTAAAATATATCCTTTTGAAAGATATATTCATTCAAATTTGCATCTCGTTTGCTAAATCATTTTAACAAAATTTTTAATAAATTATTTCATAACATACGAAACAACCGCTATATGATGTAATGCATCAAAAGGTAAAAGTTTTTTTTCAAAGTAAACCAAAAAACAAATATCCTTGGATTATAACCCCCCTCGTTGCCATCCCAACTTCCGTTTAATACCTCATCAGCCGTATCATTTTTACATTATATATTTTTTCCAACTTCGAATTTTTTATGTACCTACACGTCCCAAAAGTTCGCGTGTTATTTTTTTGATCACGTCATTGTCGGCAACTTCCAGTATACACGGTATTTAAAAGGGCAAAAGGTACCTCCCAGGTGAGGTAGAGTAATTTCTCGCGTGCGAAAAAATGGAGCGTTAAATTATTCAACGTAATTATAAAGTATTAAGAACATCAGTGTGGCCCAGATTATTACTCGACATATTGACAAGTATATTTTACTTTGCATTTCCCTATTCTAAAATGTCTACATTTTTTACAAATACCTATTTTACAGAATTTCCTAACATGTACGCATATGAATCAGCATTTGCTTTAGCTTGTGGTAAATACCTTTAAATCGTGGTATAGTGTTCGGTCATAATTCACTAAGGATAACAGCGACATCTAGATCAATGGAATGACAATTGATTGCACAATACCTTATCGCCTATTGATTGGTATAATTTATTATTTTCAAGTAAGGGGAGAAGTCAGGTAGAAATTGAAATGGCCCGACTTGAATAATGGGTTGCAGCCACCATATATTTTGATTCCTGGATCTTCACGCAATATAAACGCAATGTAGTTTATATCTAAAGCATACTGTATTTCAAATAAGCTGATATGATTATTATTTAAAATATTTGAAAGTGCATTATTGCAAAGTGTTTTCTTAAAGGCATCTTATTTCCTGTTTTAGATCGTATTAAAATTATTAAACACGCAATTAGTGTATGTAATTAAATCTTATTTCCTAACAGGTTATAATATAAATCTAGAACAACTAGTTTTTTATACAAATTATCTGTTATTTAATATTTTTAGCAAGGTGAAAAATATAATATGTACAATAATGCAAGTTAGTTTATCTTCTTTTGCTTTATCAAATTTAGTCTTAAGTACCACCAACCATTCAACAATAACTAGTGGTTGTTGAAATATGTCCAAAACAATTTCAGCCCTTTCGATTGTTATAAAAACAAGCTTAATTATTTAACAAACAATTTGCTTAATAATGAATGACACGTGAGGCTCTAATGAATAGCACTTATTCGAATTAAATGTCACGTGTAGAGTGCGGTTGTAATTGAGTGATTCATAAAATTCTTTCCCCTAAATTTACGCATCTGTTGGGTGTGTGACATCTTCTATATGATTACCGATTGTATTTTCTCGCTTTGTTGTAGAAAATGTCCGTCTTGGTCTATGATAACTTCAATACTACATATATTAAACAGAAATTTATATCCATTACAATAAGGTACTCGGTACCTGTGAATCCGTGTCATAAATCATGGTAATAATGAATAAACTTTTAAAATTGACTTGAACTTTTAATATTGGAAGAACAAACCTTATTATGATAATTGACAAGAAAAAATTTATTATTTTACCTAAACAATAATAAGTTTCATTACACTCCTAAAAAATTTTTGAATAATTAACCAAGAAAGTGAAAATCGATGTTCATTTAAAATTTATTGTGTAGCAATTTCGTATTCTACCGAAAGTATATTATTATAACAATTGCTCATTAAATAGATCTATTTGAGTGCTCTAATAGCGTGTGGTCTATTGACTTCACTATAGTTTACCTATTGATTGTTGTCGTTTTAATATGAGATCTATCTACACAACGTCGAATAATTAAAATTTATAGCAACATAGAAATATTTTGACAGCAATGTTGTGACTGTTGCCTATAGGTTATTACTATAATAAAATTACCTGCAAACTGCAGCCCTAACTATTACAGTGCTATCTATTGTTTTGATTAGAAATTTAAGCTCATAATATGGAAATATATTTGGAGTAGGTATTGATCTATAATTAGGTAAAGTTATAGTTACTTAGCTACTAGTAAAGTTATAGTTATAGTTATGCTAAATTTCATTGCATAGGAACTACTTTGATGTAGAACCTATTAATTTTCTTAATTTACAATATCTACAAGGATAGATGGGATTATGTATATATACCATGCAGATATGTTTCCCCCTCCCTGTCGATATTACCTATGCATAAATATTTTTTTAACTCAAGAATCAAGAACTATCAAGAACTATCAAGAAAAAATATCCAAAAGATCACAATGTTTATTAAATAATTAATTAATCATAAACATTTCAGAATTTTCCCAACAAACATACCTTGAGAGTAAGATCCAGAACATTGCCCGGCAATCAACAAAATCACACAGACCCCGCAAAAAATCATTTTCATTATATCAGAAATAAGTCACACACTACATCGAAAAAAAAATCCAATCACCTCAACCAAACCACGGCACGCAAAACTTTCCCGACAACTTATTAAAAATTGTTACTAAATCCTACCGGCACCTAGTTTACAAGTTCTGCCCTTCGGGCCAATTGATAAATGTCCAAAAAGAATTGACAGGTCAAAATGACAGCAGGACTTCACCGATGAGTGGGCGGGTCTTACGCCAGTCGCGGCACGGCGAGTGGAATACGTAAAGGAAGAATATACACGCAAGCAAACATCAACAAACGTAGCCCGCGTGATACTGAGCCCTAAACGCCTCATAATAGAGAAAGGTTGCGCGCGAAAGGACCCCACTCTACCTACCTCGTCCTGACATCCTATCCTGTCCTGAATGGTCCTATCAATTCCGTTTCTGAATTCCAGCTCAGGAGTGTTTCGGCAGATTGTTACCGTTATTTTCGGATTATGGAAGCCGTTAATTGGCGATTCCGACTCGCAAAAATATCAGCGTTTTCTATACCGATCCGACTGAACGTAACTTACGGTAGAGGAATCAAGGGTTACTTAAAAGTAAGAGTAATATCTTAAAGTTGAGAATATTATATTAATAAATTCCAGGACTAATTAAGAGATTAGAGAGTGGCCTACTGACATTTAGGCACCAGTCTAAGTATACCTTTACCTTTTATTTGACTCTCCCTTATAAGCCTTTGACAGCTTCTTATTCGCCTTCCTTTATATGTTGTTATTCTACTTATACCCTCTTTTACTGATTTCAATTAGTCCTTAGGATAATGTCCTTTTCATTTCATAATGAATATGCGATGCTATAGGAATAGCTACAGACGCGAGACTGCGCGATTATTTAGGTATTTATTGTTTGAAAGTCACGTAGATCGAGTCAACAGTTGTCGTTGGCAGATGTCGATTTTTTATTTTTAATACAGTGTTTGGTATAAATCGTGTCGTTCACAAGTAAATTGTCACTTCTAATTTTAATGGCTTTATAAATTCGATGACAATTGTGTTAATAGACATCGAAGTTTATTTTAGATATCCTGCAGTAAACAAATCTATTTCCAATTTCATATGAAAACATAAATACACCTAAATCCGTTTTAATTAATGACGAATTGTTTCATTATTTATCATTTCAAATTTTAATTAATTGACTAGAATGTATTATATAAAGAAAAACTAATGACTTCTATCATATTGAACGAATTGTAGCAATATTAGAATTAATATAATTTAGGAGAAATGCAATTATTAAATTATTTTAGTGTAGAACCTAATACCAAATACTTATCATAACAGCTTTATACAGCTTCCAAGTTAATAGCCCAGATCTTTGAGCATTTAAGCCGGAACTTCACTGACATGCCGTTGACTGGATTTGAACAGGTCAACGCTTGGAGTGGGCTTAATAAAGTAATTAATTACTTTAATAATATTGTACTCGATGAGTGACGTTAGTCATGGTGTGTCTCATCGTTTGTAACGCAATAAATTAGCTGGCTGTTGACAAAAACAGTTATATTTGAGATAGGGTAAATATTTTTCAGTTAATGTACGAAAGGTAATTACTTCTTTTAATCTGATTAATTGCCACCCTTTGAACAAACTCTAAATTCAATAAAATTACGTTCTAAAATTTAATGAAAAAGTTCGAAAGTAGGTATGTTTTTGAAATATTTTATGTCGCAGAATTTTCTTCGTCTATAGGTAAGAAAATAGCAGAAAACACATTTTGCATGAAATTTGCGACACATATGGTTTAGAGTAAATTCAAGTCGGCATCCATTTATTAAGTAGTTCTTTTTGAAATAAATTGTTAACCCGAAACACGTTTCAGTAATAGATATTTTCTACTGAAAAATGCTACAATATTTCTAACAGTAACGTAATATTACATTAGAGAAAACGTATGGTAGAGAAATATTTCGTAAATACGTTAAATGTCACATAAGTTATAAAGGCTTCAAAAAGTGTTTCCTATAAAATATTGCATTATCCTTAACACCGAATACTGCAAAAATTAAATTTTTTAAGGCTATATCTAGCGATGCAAATGAAAAGTAAACAATCTCTTTATAGAGCCGAGGAAAAAAAGAAAAACTTTCCTTACCAAAAGGAAAACTTCTGTCAAGGTTTGTTTTCACAAAGAAAATATTTGTACTCGTAAAATTTAATACAGACTTACGTAGTAATTCAAGCTTGTTTCAAAGGCTTTTAGAAAGTAGTTCGAGTCATTAACATTTTGTTATTTTATTCTCCTCTACTTCGGGTATAATTACGGTTTATTGATTTCGAACTCGACCCAATGTATTAAATTCGCTTATTTGTTTGTTTACCGACAACTTCTTAAGTAAAAGCAAGTATCTGAAGCCTTCTAAATTTTATTTTGGGCCATCTGGGAAATAAATATATTCTGTTGGTTTTTGACCGAAAGACATTTACTTTCCTCTTAACTTACCTCTGGTAAATACATAAAGTATATAGTGTATAAAGCATCCATAACTGTCAAAACAACCATGCGGCTAAAAATATGCACCCACGGGCCCGTGACGAATAAAATAAACCGAGACTCATTTACAGTAATATGAGACAATAAACTCTTTTGTGTTACACACGGAAAATCGAACGAATAGGGGAAAGACCCCGGCAGTCGTGTTATCAAAGTGAAAAATTATGCAGAAATGGAAAAATATAAATATCAGAAAGGGGTACCTACCCCTTACCGCGTAAATGCTATCAGATGCTTCTGAAAGCGATTTTTAGGGTCGCTTAAATATCTTTCGTTACTTATACGAATTTTAAATTAGAAATGGTGTGGCGCATAAAAGGGAAAACAGATAAATAAAAAATAAAGTGTACTTAGTTGTATTACAGTATAGCGGTTAATTAAGTAAAGTGAATATTTCCAATCTATTATTTATTTCCAGCGAAACAATTAATCAAGTTGGTATTCCTACATGGAAAGGAAAATGAACTTTTATATGAATGATGCGCTTTTTTATAAATGTGTTTCAACTACAAGAATATACATTATTATGTACATTATTATCATTATATGATGTAAATTAATCAATAATTGTCCGTTTTACTTTATTTGCTATGATTAACCAAGTCCATTAGTAGATACATTAGCACCAATCCATTTATTACATTAATTAATAGGTAAATTCTGTTATAATATTAAACGGAATAAAATCAATAAATTGTCCAACCAACTATAGATTAATAGGTACGTAGAAAATCAAGATTCGTAAAGACTTATGTTTGAAGTAAAAGGCTTATTGAGCTTATTTGGTTTCCCTGGACGAAATTTTCACTATGAGGCGAATGCTCAGAAACTATCATCTATAGAGTCGAAAGACACCACCCTTCGACATATGTCATTTCCCCTATTTCCCAAAGGTGGATAAATTTATATAAAGTGAATACTGCACGACGTTCATTATAAGCTGATTTGTGCGACCCTTTCCACTTTTCGCGGAAGTTAGTGTTTCACGTTGGGGAAACCACCCCTTAATTCATTTCATTTTTGCCCGTTCACGGTCGATAGGGTAAATCAGTGGATAATTTTTGGAGCGAGATATCCAGCTGGTTTTTAGAAGCAATTTAATTTAATTACAAAATCTTTGCGTTATAATCACACTGTGTTGTTTGCAGAATTTATATTTTATTATTTAAATAACTTAAACTATATTATTTAATTTTATTATTAATATAATCGATCAAAAAAAGAAGTCGCAACGAAACTCGGCGAATAAAGCATCGACAAACGCTCGGCATCGTCCTTTTTCCAAATTTAAATTGTAAAACTGAGGCCGATTCCCCGGTTATCAGATTCAGAAGTTTATTAAGTTGGACGGGTCCCGCTTCGCATCGGCTTCACTTTAGTTCCGATAAAAAACTTAATAAACCTTTTTTCACATTCAGTCCGACTGCACGCGAAATCCGATAGAATTCCGAAGCTCGGTTATAAGATTTCCCAGTTTCATTCGCAGCGTTAATTTGAAAATTTTTCTTTGATATTAACGAAGATGGATATTGCTCTCTTCTGCAGCACAAATTGCAACCGCCGAGCGGTCGGTTTCGGCGTATAAAAAAATACCCGCAATTCCATTAAAATCCAAACAGCGAAAATCGAGCACAACCCTTTCCGTCGCCGCGTTTTCCGCCCGCGACCTTAATGGAGACGAATGGAAGGGCGGATGCGTGGGCGAACGTTACTGCACAATTCCTGTTTACCTGTCCATATTCCGATCCGACAAGGTGCCGCCTTGCATATGGTATTATTGTGCTTGATTAAAGAGGGCGCAATTAACGCCATCGATCTTTCTGGCATGACTAATACATTGCCAGACTCTTCTATTAGAGAACCGCACACGATACAGCTGTGTCCTGATTTAATCGAGAAATCCTTTACCGCTATACACAACAAGCGTTTTTTTCCTGGTGGATTTACCGCTTTATGTGCAGCAAGTTTGCTTGCTGTTCCTGTGGATATTAGAATAGTTGTTAAATTGTGTAGGTATGTACCTACTTAATCTTATGTTTTTTGTTAATTGCAGGAGTTTAAACTTCTTAAAACTTTCGTAACTAGGACAATTAATCCTATCCTGGAAGAGAATAAACACTGGGCTTACATCAAAATGTACCAAACGGCATATTTTTTATCCCTGTGTTGGTTCGAAAAGTTTTCAAACTTAAAAACAGTTACTTACTTTCTGTATTTAGTAACAATTTATCGTAATTGTTTCATAATTAGAACTTGACTATTGTTGGCAGTGCTTTTATAGGAAAAGTGCGTATACCTACTTGAAGGCAATTCTGCACATTGTACGGAAAGATTCTGGGTTTAGCAAGTCGAAATAACGTGCAGTTCGAAGGATACACCCGTTATACCCGCGTGAAATAATATCGCTTATCGGGACCTCGGCGAACGCGGTCCGCAAGATCATTTATCACAAACGGCAAACCGGCGTAAGGGAAAAGATGGATCGATTGTCTCTATTCTGAAGTAACGCCGCTCATCGTTCACATGTACGCGAGTTCTTGATTCCATTCCGACTGGTTCTTTTCCTTATTTGGAAATTTATTGCCGAGGTGGTCATTTTTAAAGGCATTGCACAAATCATTCTGTTTTTAAAGATACGTATGTACATGTCCCTTCGGACCTCTCGTTACATCACCTTCTTAATCAACATGTCTATTTATTAACTCTATAGGTAAACAACATATAAAACGTCTATTAATTAATGTAAAGTTTTTTATTAACTG